AATCCCACCGTTGTGTGCAGCTATAAAGCAGCAATAAAAAAATAATTGGAGGAGAATAGCTATTGAGCCAGGTGTGGTGGCACATGCCTGTAATATCAGCAACTCCTGGGAGACACATACAGGATTCCAAGTTCAAGGACAGCCTCAACAACTTAGCAAGACCCTGTCTTGAAATAAAATAATACTTTTTTAAAAAAGGGCTGGGGATGTGTCTTGGTTGTGGAGTGCCTCTGGGTTCAGTCTCCAGTACCACCGCCGCCACCACCACCAAAAAAAAAAAAAAAAAAAAAAAAGGCATATATACCCATTTTATTACTCCCTTCCTCTGTTTCAAAAATTAACACTGATACAATAATAATATCTAACTACAGACCTTATTCAGATTCTGTCAATTATCCCTAAAGTGTCCTGTGTGAAAAATTTCTCAGAGCATACATTATATATAGTCTCCTTTCATCTGAACGATTTTTCCGTATTTCTTGGCATTGGCATTTTTGAAGAGTACTAGCCAATCATCACGTAGAATGTCCTTCACTTTTGGTTTGTTTGATGTTTCCTCATGGCTGGATTCAGGTTTTGCACTTTGGGTAGAAATGCTGCAGGAGGAACATGGTGTTCTCAGTGCATCGATTTGGAGGCACGTGATGTCTTTGGGCCCAGTCCTGATGTTAACTCTGGTCCTTTGGCTAAGGCCAGGTTTCTCTAGTGTTGTCTCAGAAAAGTTGCTCCTCTCSGCTTTCCAACTAATACCTATTATGAAGTGAAAGATTTAGGTTTTATTACTATCCTTTTCCTCTTTGAATTTCGATGCCTAGTCCTTAGAATCCATTGATGCCCCTTGCCTGAATTGGTTATTCTTATGATGGGTCACCTAGTCATGATTTTAGAATTTTCATCGTTCCTTCATTATTAGTTGGATTTCTTCTCCAAAGAAGAACTTACTCTTATCTCTGATTTGTATATTTATGTCAGTGTAGACTCACTTTCTGTATTATTGTTTTTAAAAACACTTTTAGTTGTAGATGGACACAATACTTTATTTTATTTATTTATATGTGGTGCTGAAGATCAAACCCAGTGCCTCACACTTGATAGGCAAGCAGTCTACCACTGAGCTACAACCCCAGCCTTCTAATAAGTTATCTTTCGATGCTCAAATTGTCCCACATTGGCTGGCTTCTGTGTCTCTTCCACACATCCTTGTCAGTCTTTGAGCATCTCTTTCCTTTTCTGGAGAATGCTGCTTGTGGTGTTCTTTTCCCTCCTCAGCTTTAGAACGACCATGTTTTCAAGCTTTGTTTGAGAGAGCTGTTTTTCCATAGCCTGGCCAAGAGCTATATATATATATATATATATATATATATATATATATATATATATATATATATATATATATATATATATATATTCTGGTACCGGGAATTGAACTCAGGTGTGCTTAACCTCTGAGCCACATCTTCAGCCTTTTTTATATTTTGAGACAGGGTCTCACTAAGTTGCTTAGGGCCTCATTAAGTTGCTGAAACTAGAGTTGAACTCATGATCTTCCTGTTGCAACCTCCTGAGCCTCTAGGATTACAGGCATGCATCAGCATGCCTGGTAAGAGCAATTTTTTTAAAAGATAAATATGTTTTTTTAGTTGTACACAAGAGCAATTTTTTATACTGACAAATTTTGCCAATCTTAATAGTTGAGAAATAGCATCTCAGTATAGTTTTGATTGCATTTCTTTTTTTTTCCTTAAAGTATTTTTATTAGTTATTGATGGACCTTTTATTTATTTATTTAATTGCTTGTATGTGGTGCTGAGAATCGAACCCAGTGCCTCACACATGCTAGGCAAGCACTCTACCACCAAGCCACACCCCCATCCCACATTTCTTTTATTATGAATGAAATTGAATGTGTTTTCATGTGTTTAAATGTGTATGTGTATACATGTTACATATGTGTGTGAAATAACATTTTTTCTTTTGAGGTAGTCGTCTTTAATTTTGAGACTTCTTTATATATTATGGATTGTAGTACTTTATCTGTGATGTGCTGCAAATATTTTTGCCATTTTTATCTTTTTTTGTTTTGTTTTGTCATACAAAGAATTTTTAAAAAATGTTTAATCAACTGATCGGTCGTGTGTTTTTCCTGGTTTCAAGTCATAGTTTCAAGCCTTTCCTTACATTGAGCTTAAAGAGGAACTTACCATTTTTTCCTATTAGTACTAATATGGTTTCATTATTTTATGTTTAGGTTCTTGTTTCATTGGAGTTATATTGTGATGTATGGTTAGAGATGTGAATCTAATTTTATTTATTTGCAAATGGCTAGACAATCTTTTTAACAGTTTATTGAGTCAGTTTTTTGTACCAGTGATTTTAGATGTTGCCCTTTGTCATGCACAGTCCTAAAGCTCCATTTCTACATGGGTTTCTGTATTAATCCATTGGTTCGTCTGTCAGGACCATGCTTTCCATTACCAAGGCTTTGTAGTATAATATAATGTCTGGAAGGACTAAGCCTGCTCCTCTAGCACTTCAGCGTTTTTTTGGCTGTTATTGCTCATTTATTTTTCAATTTGAGGTTCAGTATTAATTATCTACTTCATTACAAAATTGTTGGTGTATATATGGGGATTGCATTCAATTAACAAATTAACTTACGGTGGACTCACATTTTTATAACATGAATTTATTCTGTCCAAACTAAGTCATTTGTTTGTTCAAGACTTCATTTGTTTTTTAAACTTTTCCACATTTCTTTTAAATTAATATTTATTTATTTGTTTTCTGTTGCTGGGGAGCAAATCCAGGACCCTGCCTATGCCAGGCAAGTGATCTACTACTGAGCCACATCCTCAGTCCTAAATTTTTTTTTCTTAAATATTTCATTTTCTTTGTGCAACTTGCATTTTTTTTTCCATTTAGCCATGGATATCTTAACAGGTTACTACTCGTTGACCTATTTCATTTTAAAAAATAAATCCATGGCAGTCTATTGTGCCCTAATTTGATTGAAGTTTTCCTCTGTTATCTTTCTGTGGCTTTTAATTTTCTCTCTTCCAAATGATATTATAGGGAATATACTTGCTTACTCATAGGCCATTTGGGTTTGGGGTAATATATGCTGCCGTATTCTCTCTCTAAACTATATGGCATGGTTTTAAAGTCACAAGATCTTCAAAGTTTTGTTTAAAGAAACATAAAAGTTAATTAAAATTTTATGTGTGTCCATTAATATGGGAAATATAAAGGTAACTGAGGCTGGGGCTGGGGCTCAGTAGTATAGCACTTGCCTAGCCATGTGTGAGGCACTGGATTCGATCCTCAGCACCATGTAACTAGAAAAAAATTTAAAAAGCCAAGCAACTAAAAACAACGACAACCAAAACCCTGGAAGTCATACTTTTACCTTAAATGATGCAATGTAATTTTATATATTATATGTGTGATTATTTATGTACACTTAAAACACTAAAAATTCTCTGGTAAGTAGACTTTGAATTGAGCCTAGAAGGAAATGCTGGCTCTGGGTTAGCAGAAAGGATCAAGAAGGCAAGTCATGTCATTTTAGTTGAGGTCAGTGAAATAACTGGCCTGGACTGAAGTCATGTTTGTATTCAAGGATAAAGTAAGCGCAGTTAGTGGATAAATGTGTGGGCCCAACGGAAGAGTGTGGGTTGGATGTACTTGGCAGCAGAGAGCATTCTGAACTAGTCATCCCCTGACATGTAACAAATTACCCCCAAATTTAGTGCTTTAAAACACCAGTAAGCATTTATCATCTCTTAACAGTTCTTATGGGTCAGAAATATGGGAGCAGGTTGACAGGGTCTTAAAGACTTGGTCTTGTCTGATGATGAAGTAAAAATGTTAGCCAGGATGCAGTCTTCTGAAGGCTTGGTGGGGGCTTCAGGAAGCACTTACAAGATGGTGCCTCACATGGTTGGCAGGTTGGTGCAGGGCCATGGTGGGAGGCCTCAGTCCCTTACTTCACTGTGTGAGTATTCTTATGATATGGTAGCTTTGCTCCCCAAATCAATCAGTGCAAGGAAACCAGGCAGCTCCCATGCCCTCTTTGACCTAGCCTTTTCCTCAGAAAAGCTATAAATTCAGCCCACAGTCAAGAGGAGGGAAGCTAGGTTTTACCTTTTGCAAAGGGGAGTGTTGAAGAATCTGGGAATAGATTTTAAACCACCATACTGTATTCTTTTAGAAGAGGGGTGATGGTATGATGTTGAAAGGGTACCTAGAGGAAGATGAATCTGGTAGCAAGGTCAAATATGAGTTGAAGAAGGGAAGAAATAGGAGGTAGATTCCAGGGAGGAAGTCAGTCAATTGATGATGGATGTAGTTGGGTGTAGTGAGAGGGGAGAGGTAGGACACAGAAACCAGGGCATACAGCACAAGGACGAGGGGCAGGAAGAGGGTGAAGAGGATCTGCAGAATGATCAGTACAGTTGTGGTAAGATGGACCAGTTTTGAGGGGATAAGGGTACTTGTTTGGTCTTAGACATTCCAGGGAAGCTCCTAAGGAGTTGAAAATGCACAACCCTGAAATGACTAACCAAAGAGGCTCTTCTTGCCACTCCAGCAATGATGATTCAGTTTTTCAAGAGCTTGGAATGTAGAGAGAGCAGACTACCAAGGACCAGGCCTTGGGTGGACACATGGCTTGGAATACGATTAGGGAGGGGAACCAGATCTGTAAAGGTAGAGAGAAGGAAGAGCCAGCTGTGTTCCTGGCAGGAATGAAAAAAATGGAATGATCAGAGCATCAGATGTTGCAGAATCTGAAGAGAATGATGTATGAAATGAACGCATTTGCCTGCAAGATTATTATAGGTGACAGCAGTTTAAGTGGAGTAGAACAATTTTGGAAATTGGATTATAACATTTAATTCGATGATTAACTTTTAAAAAAGTGCTTGAGGTGGGAGGATGAGTGGCTGGCATGCCATTCATCTCTTGGTTTTGAGATCTTACATCTTCTTACCTCTTTTTAGCATCACCAAGCATCCCAGGAATGCTACTTCTGCTCAGTTCTTGGATGGAGAGGAATGGAGGAGGATTTTTGCCTCACTTGTGTTTTCAGGGAATCTTTTAACTGTAAGTGAAATCTAGTATTTTCTTTTATTTTTTTTTTAACCACTCAGATACTGTTTTTAGTTATCCTGGGCTCCCCCTCCCCTTCACTCCTTTCCCCCAGTCAGTGTGAGTTTAAAACCACAAGGTTCCACCTCACCTATTTTTCCTTGTCTTTACCTTCTGCCTTCAATCATGACTCTATTATTCATGGTTTGCTAACTGAACTTGCAATGAGTACATATTAAATATTATTAAAATGGTAATGACAAATGTAAATACTAAATTGAAATATTTTATGTTATATACCTATTCATGTATGTATAATGAGTTTTCAAATTAGTAAAATAATTAAGAGACCTAAAATATGAAAATATTTTAAAAGTTTTCTTATGTGACATGAACATATCTTGAGGTTTCTATAAGAATTTGAGATTAAATGGATTAGGAAATTGTATAATAAAACACTGAAAAACTCAGAAATTAAATTGAGTTTTCTTCACTACATGGTGTGGTGATGATGATTTCATTTTATTTTTTCCCATAGAGTTATTTTTCTTTTAAGAAAAAAAAATCACTTTGGCTCTACTAAAGACTTAGAGAAACGAAACCACAATTGCAATAATTACTATGGTTCCAAATTAAAGAGTAATCTTTATGCTGCCATCAAAGAACTTTTGTTGATAAGTTCCTTTTAGCACACATACAAAAAAATAGGCTTGTTCTCAGTCAGATCATCTTTGAATAAGTAGGGCAGCCTCAGATGATGTCTAGCTGCAGAGTGCTTGGGCGGTGAGCATGGGAGGAGATGAAAAGGGTTGGGTGGCAGAGGAATAGCAGAAGGAGGGAAGCTGGGGAGCAGCACAGTTAGCCGCAGCAAGGGGGAGTGCGAAAAGAGGGGTGCTGGTGCCAACTGGCAGTAATGCCAGGTAGGTTCTTAGTTTTCATTATGTAGGTATTAAGCTTTTCCTTCATGTTTGTGAGTAAGAGTGGGACAGGAAATAAAAAGGGAGTGTGAAATGGCTATGTTGTTTATTTTTACAACTAGAGATCTGAATATACTTGCAAAGATTCTCTTATCATGACTTTTATTACTTGGACTTGGGCAGTGGACAAAAACTAATTTGGTTCATATATTTTCCTTTTCTCATCTCCTATCATCTTATCACTACCTCTTTTCTGTACATTTTCTTTGGGGCATCATTAGCCTTACCTCTTCCACTCCCAGTGCCATACCCTTGTAGGGTAAATTGTCCTCTTTCATGCCTCTTTATCTCTAGAATATCCTGGGACTCTCTGTCAATAGACATCTACAACGTGTTTCTGGTATTAGCTCCTTAGAAGGAAAGGCTGAGCCATCCTTGACAGTGCATCCCCACATCTAATAAACATGAACCAGTGAGTGATGTTCCCAAGCCTCAGAGTGGATACTCATGCTGTCCCTCTGAGTGCAGTCACTCAGCATTGAGGCTTGGAGACCTGCAGCTAGAGAAGACTGCACCAGCCATAAAGGAAATATCTGGACCTGACTGAAAGCAGAGTAAGGCAGAGTTCTGATCATGTTGTGCTTCATAGGGTAGGTTTTAGTAATGGGTTTGGAGCAAGAAACAAATACAAGCAGTGCCATGTGGTCAGCATTGAGGAAGTTTGCAATTCATTCATCTTGGGGAGGGCTGGGAAGATTGGCGTGTGAGTCAAGTCCTAAATGGAGATGACTAGTGTGGAGTCACACGGTGTGAATGGGTGAGTTTACCCAAGGAGAGCTCACTGAGCAAGGTGAGAGAGTGCCACACAGAGGACTTAGGGACACGTCCACATAAAAAAAGCACACAGGAAAAGAACCACCCAAGAACAGTAAAAGGCGAGGGGAGGGAGTGGTCATCTGTAATACAAGATGCTACCAGGGGGTCAAGATGGGATGAAAGGTAAAAATGAGACCAGGGTCAGAGGCTAGAAAAGTTGTGGCATTAGGAACTTCATTCCAAAGGCTGAGTGCAGTGGATGTTAATGAATAGAGACAATGAGTGTGCATGACTTTTTTTTTTAAAAGCAATTTGAAATAGGAAGTCAATTACAGATGATTACAGATGAAGAAAGGTCTTTATTTTAGCATAAGGTGGTGTAAACAGTAGTAATAGAAGAAGAAAAAATCATAGACCAAAGGAAAAGCATGTTCCCAAGGGTGGTGAGAAGAGGATGAATCCAAAAACATAAGGGAAGTAAATGTGTGAACTTCTCTTCAGAGGCTTAGAAATGGGCTTGCTGATTTTTGTGAATAGTTAGGTTTGAAGTGGCTCTGCAGAGAGTTGAGGGAGAATCACCTGTATGTTATCAGCAGGGTCATTGGCAAGAGGAGGTAAGATGGGTTGTTTAGAGGGTTTGAAAAAATGCTTGGGACAGCCATTGTAGGGACAGAGAGTTGACTAGGGGAAGATAGTGGATTACTTCCCAGCAAGGAGGGCCTGGCTGAGATAGGGCCTGAGCAGTAGAATTCTCTGGTTTTTCTCCCATAGATCCCTCTCTGGCCTGAGGGCTGGAACAGGTAAACTGCAATATGATTATTTACAAATAATTCTTTTAAATACACAGCGCTGTATTTTGTTTCTGTGTGTGGTAAACTATACGTAATATTTACCATCTTAACCATTTTTAATGATATAGTTCTGTGGCATTAATACATCCCCGTGTTTGTGTGTCCATCACTACCATCCACATCCAGAACTTTCTCACTTTCCCAGCTGCAGCTCTACCTGTTTAGCAGCTCTCCATTGCCTGCCCTGCAGCCCCCACATGGCACACTGCACTTTCTGTTCCTGTTTGGCCACTTTAGGGACTTCTTATGCTATCTTAACAGGAATCATGCAATAATGGTCCTTTGGGGACTGGCTTATTTCACTTGGCATAGTGTTTTCAGGTTCATGTGTTTATCATATATCAGAATTTCTCAGTTTTTTTTAATGCCCTACTGGGGGTCAAATTCAGGGTGCTTTACCACTGAGTTACATCCCCAGCTCTTTGTTTTTTATTTTGACAAAGGGTTTTGCTAGATTGCTGAGGCTAGCCTTGAATTTGAGATCCTCCTGCCTCAGCCTCTTGAGACTCTGGGATTATGTCACCACATCTGGCTCTTTTAAGTATTCTTAAGATATTTAAACACAGTTTTGTTTCGTTTTCCCCAAGAACACAACTGTTCCACAACCATAAAGAGGAGTTGGGAGAAGGGAATTTGTATGTTTACATATGTCCCATTTACGGTATATCAAGAGCTACATTGGTTGCAAATATTTTGATGCATTGGATCTTCACAACAGTTCTCTGAGGTGATATTATTATTATCATTTCATAGCTGAGTAAACTGCCTTTCAGAAAGCTCAAGTATAGCTTGTGTGGGCTCTCACAGCTGGGAAATAACGGAGCCAGGATTTGAATCCTGGACTTCCTGACACTAGACACAGCATTCTTTTTATGACCTTTCAGTTTTCCACGTAGTCTTATGTCTAATTATGACTTTAAAGGAGTCAAGTCTCTTTGCTTTCAATTTAATGAAATTGTGCTTCTTAAGATTTTTCTAGTGCTCAACAAATGTACAAGGCTCTTCATGACATCAGATGATTTTTATTCAGTATTTAACTTTTAAGAACAGAATTAAACATGTGCCCAAAGTGGAAAGTTACGTTTGTTAATTAATTCAGTTCATAGTTATTTGTTTAATGTTGTCTGGTGTATTTTTCCAACTTGGTATTGATCTGGGGATAATTCATAGAACTAAACTGGTAGATTTATAGGATAGATTTCTGAAGGAAAATGCTTTCTTGAGTAAGAGTCTATTTAAATAATCACAAATAGAAAGGAGAAACTCTAAAAGTGAAAAATATATGACCATTCATTTTTAAGGTTCTCCTAAAATCCAAATATTTCTCAAGTAATGTGAATATTATAATTGAAGCCAAAAGCTGCAGTCTGAGATTGGCTTTGCTTAAGCACTAATCTTGTCTTTCTATTGTTGTTTTTAATCTACAAATGTTTCTCTGAATTCTTGAGTCCTCTCCTCTATACTGTGCCAGTGAAAAAACATTTTTGTTTGAAGATCTAAGCAATGACTGTGATATATCAAGGTTATTTGAATAGATGATCCTGAGAAGTAATCAAAGTCATTTAGAGAACGGTTATTTCCAGAACTCAGGACCTTCGTGGAGGTATGTGGGAGGCCTTTGTTGTGGCATGAAGACGGAGTTTATCTGCATCTTGGTTCAGTGCATTGCTCTGAAAGCTATGAGAGCTCTGGTGATGGTGAGTTTTGCCTTCATTTTATGACCAGTTGTTAGACCCAGCATCTGAAGCCTGTGTTGACTTTAGAAAGGTATTCTCAGAAGCCCTTTCTGGAATGAGTTTAAAGAAAGAAGAGAACCAGAAGCCAGGTTCAGTCTTGCAGGGGATGCTTTGGAAAAGGACAAGTGATTCTCTGGGATCATCAGAGTGGATCAGATCACATTCTACTGTAGTGATAAAAACAAAGAACAATAAATCAGAGGGACTGTAAACCATCCTGAAATCTCCCTTCAGGCAATAATACCAAACAGGGAGGATAGATAGTGCTTTCTCTCCACTCTCTTTTTCATTTTTCCTTGAAGGTTAATAGGATTAAAAATTTTACAACCCCCACTTTGGTTCATACTCAGGTTTCAGTTTCCAGGTGGGTAGCTGGTACAGACCTCCTCTGACTTGAGGCTGTTCTCTTGTTCATTCTGCATTAATTTAAAAACAACTAATTAACGTCTGGTTAAAAAAAAAATTCTCATCTTGAAAGTCAGAATCTAAGAGAGCATTTGCCTGCCTCATGCCAAGGGACTTAAACTGTACTCGAATGTTCATGCACTGTTGTTTTATTCAAATATAAAGGGATAAAAATGCTCAAGATATAGCAAAGGATATTTTTAAAGTATGCAGTGCATGTGATTGTTGATGAGTCAGGTGAGTGGGTGATTCTGGGCAGAGTGGTAGAAAAAAATGACTTTCAACAGGAA